GAACAATATGCGCAAGCGTTCGTCCATTGGCCTGGTGTTTGGGGCGCAGGCGGCGCTGTTGGCGACACGCAGCAAAGGTAACTTGCAACTGAGCACCACCAACTCCAAGTCGATTGAGGCAATGCATTCCATGGGCGCCCGATCGCCACACCATCAGCACCTGACACACCAAACGAGCTTGCAGCGTGCCCAGAGCAAGGAGGAGGTGGGCATGGGGCATTATCAGGCGCATGCGCTGCTTGAGCGACCCAAGCGCACCTCCTGCTCCACTCTGTCCCAGATAGCCGAGCATGAACGCCTCATTGATATCCATCAAACCTCCAATCCAGCCAATGACCAAGACCCGCTCTCACCCGTGGATTTGGCCCCCATCGAGGTGCCGTGCGACCAGGTGCAACAGTGCCTGGTGCAGGCCATCTTGCCGCCGCCGGAGGCCTTCCAGTGCCCCACGCCCCTATCCGATTACTCGGATCGTCCGTTTGGCAACAGCTCCGGCAACAGCGAACTGGTCATGACCTACGATCTGCTGACCAACAACTCTGATCTACGCTACATGGACGAGAGCTCGGCCATGCTGGCCACGAATGACAGTGTTAGCTGCTCCCACAGTGCTTCGCGTTCCGCACGACCCACGTCCGTTTCCTCAGCAAAGCGCAGTGCCATTCCACCACCGCCACCCGCACGCAAACAGGTCCAAAGCTCCCCCACCGTTTCCAGCCAGCAGCAACAGCATGCGACGGACAGCCAATCCCAGTCCCAGGAGCAGGTAGCCATTGAAACACGTCTTCTCGTCTCATACACAGGCATCGAGGACTTTGCCAAGGTGCGACGCGAGAGCTGCATCGAGGCCATTTGCCTGCTGGACGTGCCCGGCGGCAATGATCGCGTCCAGGCGGAGTGTCCGCATCGACGTGCCTCCAGTCCCATGGAGACAAGCAGCAAGGATGCCGTACTCTATTCACCGATGCCGCCGCCACTGAAGCCCACTCCAGCACCGGGCAATGTTGCCGCAGCAGCAGCTGCTGCAAAGACGCCTGTTGCAGCACCGATGCCAGCGCCCGCAGCTGTTCAGCTGGAGCGCATTGATGAGCGCGAGGCATCTGAGACGAACACCAACAAGATGCCCTCCACATCGGGCACCACCAGCAGCTCGGCAGGTGCTGCCGGCGGCATTCTAAAGGATGCTAAAGATTTGGACGAGGGCGGCGTGTCGCGACGCAGCTCCAGCAAACGGCATTTCATGCACTCCATTGGCAAACACTTCAAAAGCAAGAAGGCTCTGCCCCTGGTCATGGGCATCGGTGGCAGCCGGCAGAAGTCCAAGTCCGAGAATCGTGCACGCAAAGCGTTCCGCACCATCTCCTTCATCTTGGGCTGCTTCGTGGCCTGCTGGACGCCGTATCATGTGCTGGCCCTGGTCGAGGGCTTCTGCCGCAATCCGCCGTGCACCAACGAGCACCTGTATATGTTCTCGTACTTCCTGTGCTATGCCAATAGTCCAATGAATCCCTTCTGCTACGCCCTGGCCAATCAGCAGTTCAAGAAGACGTTCATGCGCATCCTCAAGGGTGATCTGCACATGACCTAAGCGCATCCAGATCAGATTGAGTTTAGTTTGAATTTTGTGAAAATTTAGAAGAAGAAGAAGCAGAAGAAGATGATAGCAGCTGGATCCGGCTCTGGCATTGCATTTGCTACCGACGACACAGCATTCCCGAGAGCCCCGCGGCATGTTGTGTTCACGTTTTAATTCAGCTCCAGATGGATGACAAATGCTCCGCCAAAGCCATGGATCCCGCCCGGACGCCACTCGAATTCAAAATTCGTTCCGGTATTTGTATTTTAAGCAGCCAAAGGTGTGTGTTAGTTAGTGAATGGAACTATTTGTTTAGCGATTAGTTGCTATTAGAGTGGAAATGTAGTGGAGTTGAGGCAAATGTTTTAGACAATAAATAAATTAATATTTATATAAAAAACAAAAGAAAAACTATCCACCCTAAGGTGATTAGTTTATACATATATATATATTGCATATATATTAATTATTATATGCGGCTACACAAATTAACAAATAATAGTAATACCAATGCTAATACTAATACTCAAACTAATACTAATACGAATGATAATGATAATGCTAAAGATAATAATAATAATGAGAATGATAATGATAATGATAATGATAATGATAATGATAATGATAATGATAATGATAATGATAATGATAATGATAATGATAATGATAATGATAATGATAATGATAATGATAATGATAATGATAATGATAATGATAATGATAATGATAATGATAATGATAATGATACTGATAATGATAATGATAATGATAATGATAATGATAATGATAATGATAATGATAATGATAATGATAATGATAATGATAATGATAATGATAATGATAATGATAATGATAATGATAATGATAATGATAATGATAATGATAATGATAATGATAATGATAATGATAATGATAATGATAATGATAATGATAATGATAATGATAATGATAATGATAATGATAATGATAATGATAATGATAATGATAATGATAATGATAATGATAATGATAATGATAATGATAATGATAATGATAATGATAATGTTAATGATAATGATAATAATAATACAAACATAATGAAAATGACAATGATAATACTAATGAGCATGATACTGCTAATAATAATGATAATGCTAATAGCAATGATAATACTAATGATAATGATAATGCTAATACCAATGATAATAATAAAATAATAATTAAAAAATACTAATAAAAACCTAAACAAAACACAATTATAATGCCAATACTAATGCTAATAATAATAAAAGCCAAACGTAATATAATTATTAATTTTAATTCTAATGACTATAATACCGATCAACAGACACATAACATATCCCAACAGAAGCACTATTTTTTCATTAATCATACCACAGATACAGCTATATATATGTATACTCACATATATATATATCCCAAACTGTGCGTCAATACAGAGAGAAACGCCGTAAAACCCAACTGAATGTTCAACAAACACAACAACAACAACAACAATTATTAACCAACAAATAAAGAAATATTGATGTAAAAAAGTAACTAACAAATATAGCTATACATATGCAATTGCTCGTATATTGTGGTATATATATACATATATATATATATATACCTCTACCTATATCATATCCGTGTATAAATGTCAATTTGAATTTGAGTATATCGGGAACCGACAACTACAGCAGCCATTGCTCTGCACACATACATATATGCCTAGTTATATATCTAATAATATTTGTATTATAAGTGTATACCAGTTATATATAATATATAATATGATACGATATGATATGATATGATATGATATGATATGAATTTCGCGTCTATGCCGAGCTGCCTAAATAAGTTGACTTTGTTACACTTAAATCATACGTATTTATAATTAAACAGTTATGTCCTTATCTCTCTATATATATGTTATATATATATATATATATATATATTTTTTTTTTTTTTTTCTTTTTTTTTTTTGTTTCATTCGATGCCATGTTGCCTGATTTGTTTGATATTTTCTTTAAATTGAACTGTTATTCGTTAAACTTTTTATGAACTTATTGATTAGTTAATACGACTAACTTCCGTTTGTTTTTAGCATTTAAGTAAAACGTGTTACAATAACTACAACATTTAATAAATAAAATATTTATGTCAAAAACAGAAGCACTTAAGATTTATAACATATAGCATACACTACTATTTCTATGAACAGCCGATTTTCAGCTCTCTTAAATCGTCAAACACAAATTAATTCTGACAGAAAATATCAACTATTTTGAGTAATTCTATCCAATGCATTCTATTCTAAACAAAAGTAATTAAATTTGTAGTTTTAAACAGACAGAGTATGTTTCAATTTGCCTCATATTTTGTGTAGTGCAGCACTACTATTTTTATGAACAAGGCAGTATAGCTGCTTCCACGAACTGATGTCTATCAGATAAAGTTTCTTATATGTAAGTATCCTATATCTTATATATTTTACTATACCCTGCAGCTATGGAGTATAAGGTGTATATGCTTTTTGCTTTAATTTATATATCATGCTGATAACTTCTTTATCAACACGAATTATCGCATTCATTTAGCCTTGTCCCAGAAATTGGCTGTTCTTTAACAATATTGTTCGAACGGACAAGAGTGTGTAGTTTATTAATATTATTATTAATATTATAATCAATGTGCTTTGAATGACTTCAATGATTTTAGAGCCAGAGCTTAACTTGCTATATAAGGCAAAGGCATCTGATGAATTTGCTATTCAGACTAAGCAGAATCTTGATATCTACAGCATTAATTAATCGATAGCTTTTTCACTTAAGAAATCGATAAAATGTAAATATCAAACTTTAGTCTGTCCTTTGTGATGCCTTGAGAAATTGCGGTCAATGAGCCACAGTTTGATATTTTTTATCGATTTCTTTATAGAAAAAGCTATCGATTAATTAATGCTGTAGATATCAAGATTCAGCTTAGTCTGAATATCAAATTCATATTTTGTAGATGCCTTTGCTCTAATCCTTATATAGCAACTTAAGCTCTGGCCCTAAAAATCATTGAAGTCATTCAAAGCACATTTTTAAGAAGCTTCAAGAAGAGCTTTGAGTCTGTAAATGAAAGCGCAGCGCAGCACAAAATAGAGGGTATCCACCTGTCGCGCTCAGCTGTTTCGAGAATTCTGAATTAAGCTCTCTAACAGTGAAGAGAAAGTTTTAGGGCATGCAAATATTTTTGATTATATAATATATATTGAAAAAAAATCTTAAAAAAATTTAAAATACATAATTTAAATAAACCATCAATAATAAATTTGATTATCAACAGTTAAAGTTTGTAGATTTGAAATCAACTGAAATCCAAATGTCAACTTTGAGACAGCTTTTTTTTATATAAAATGAATTCACATTTTATATAAAAAAAAAAATAAATTGTATTAATTTTAATGGAATTTAAGATTTATCTTTGCCAATCAGAAATGGCTTGGCGCTAGCCAGCCCTAGGCTAATCCAAAATTCCAGTATTTTCCAGCACTAGACACAGTTGACAATCAAATTCAATTGGAACTATCCGAAACTAATTAAATCGAGACTCGTTTACCGCGGCACAGCTGCGCGTAGTTCAAGTTGAAGCACCGAGCCGAGCAGTAGACCTCCCCAGTGGGTAGTGCAACGTACAGAACTTAGAATACTCAAAGAAGCTCAAAGTACAATCAGAGCGCATACCAATTAGGCTCACCTGTTGACCTGTGAAACAGAAAAGGCAAAAAAAGCAACCAGGAGTAAAGCAGAAAGAAAAAAAACTGGAAAATGGAGATAATTATACGTATTTTCGGCTTTATACTCTCCTATCTGGCGCTGATGATCAATCGATTCTTGGAATACATGATTTACCGAAAGCAACCCGATTTCCCAGCCATACGGAATCGCCTGCTGCTGAAGTCCGCTGTGGAGCTGACGACGGAATTGCGACGCGGACAGGTGATGTCGAAACAGACCAAGTTATGTAATCGAATGTATTCAAATGTATTGCCATGCAGATCACCTCTGAGCAGCTGGTCAGCCTGTATATTGCACGTGTGCGTGATGTGAATCCGTCGCTGAATGCGGTCATCGAGGACCGTTTCGACGAGGCCCTGGAGGAGGCCAGGCACGCGGACAAGCTGATTGCCGAGGCATCCAAAGACTACGATCGCGTTGCGCTCTTCACGCGCTATCCACTGCTGGGCATACCCTTCACCGTGAAGGAATCATGCGGGCTAAAGGGTAAGCATGGCACTTGAACTCTTCCGCATCTGCTTCTTGTTCATTTTCACTGTCTTTGCCCATGGAGGACTTTCGTATGCCGTGGGCAGCGTCATACGCAAGGGCTTAAAAGCGCCCAAGGACGGCGAGGTTGTGCAGCTGGTGCGCGCTGCTGGCGCCATTCCGCTGCTCGTCTCGGCCACGCCCGAGTTCTGTATGAGCTTCGAGACGAATACGGTGGCAAATGGCCGCTGCATGAATCCCCACAATCTGACACTGTCCACGGGCGGCTCGTCGGGCGGCGAATGCGCCTTGAATGCCAGCGGCGCCTCCGTGTTCGGCATTGGCTCGGACATTGCCGGCTCCATACGGCTGCCGGCCATGTTTTGCGGCGTCTATGGCCACAAGCCGACGGGCGGACTCACCTCGATCAAGGGCCACTTTCCCTACTCGCTGACCGACGAGAACCTGCCCAATTATCTGCAAATGGGACCCATTACGCGTTTCGCCAGCGACATGCCGCTGCTGCTCGAGATTATGGCGGGCGACAATAAGCACAAGCTCAAAATGGATGAGCCGGTGCCGCTCAACGAACTCAAAGTAGGATATGAAGTCTCCAAAACATGTATACTCTGTTAACAACAGGCAACGGGGTATCAACGGCTGAGGCAGCGGTTTACTGCGGGCTAGCAGCGTTGACTCTAGTTACTGCCAGTAGAGGGCGCTATCTCTTTCTATCTAGCTGAGCTTAGTTAGGAAAATAGCCTTAAAAAAAATATGCTCTGTTCGTTTGAGTCATATAAAGGGTATATCAGCTTTGTCCGTTTTGATATCCGCTTGAGTTTCTGGTCAGCATTTAATTGAATGCTCAAAGTGCCTAGTGAAGTGGGGTATATTAGTTTTGTTATAGTTTTATTATAGATCGAAGTCAAGATTTTTTCAAACTTTCATAGAATGTACACTAGAGGGCGCTTAAGTCACTTTCCAACCATCTCTCCCCCCAAAATTTGTATCCTTAATGAAAATTTAAAATTCATAGAGTTTGCAGTCAACCGAACCTAGTGAACAGAGAGTATTGCGCAGTCGGCTATGCCCGACTTTATTATTTTAAAATAATCCCCATCTTTAGATATACTACTCCTATGGTTATCCGGGCATAAACGGCTTGACGCATCCGTACGTAAATGATGAAATCAAAATGTGCATTGTGCGTGCCCTGAAATGCTTCGCCAAGGTGGGCATTGAGTCGACACAAGTAAGTCCAACTGATGATCATATATATCATATTCAACATGCCGTTAATCCGCCAACTCTATCAGCTGGATTTTAGTTTTTTGGACAACATTTATGAGATGTCGATTGTGGCTCTAGTCGATCTGAAGGGTTTGCCCAGCGTTATAACACAGCAAGCCGATCGACCGCCGAGCATGCGCCTCCTGGCCATGGAGATGTTCAACAGCATCATTGGCCATTCGCTGTTTACCAAGGAGGCGTTATTTCTGGAGCTGATGCAGCGTCTCAATGGCTTGATAGCCAGCAATAAAATGCAACAGTATCGTGATGAAATTGAGAAGGTCAAGACGTATCTAGCGGTAAACTACAGCAGATATCATATGGGAAAAAGATGGATAATCTAAGAAGTTTTTGTTTCTACACAGGAATTGCTGGGGGATCGCGGCGTTCTGTTTCTGCCCACCTTCCACTCGACTGCTCTGAACTTTCATACTTCCTTGTTCAATATCACGGGCATTGACAGTCTGCTGCTCTTTAATGTGTTGGGTTTTCCGGCAACGCACGTCACCATGGGCCTGAGTATGCGTGGCATGCCTATTGGATTTCAGGTGATAGCGGCTCCTTATCAGGACAAGCTTTGCCTGCAAATCGCCAGTGAAATAGAGGTAGCTTTTTGTGGCTGGACATCGCCGGTGCTGCATCAGCTTACATTTCCAGATTCCCAGTGACAAATTTATAGACAAATAAGAGTAACGGTTAGTTAAGGTTACGGTTCAGTTGATATTTGCAATAAAAACGAAATTTGCTTCAAATAATAACGACTAAAAGTGTACTATCGATAGCATATATCGTTGTTTTCCCATCATTAGTGCTCTCTCCCTCTTGCTCTCATTTTTACATGCTTTACATTGCATATGCTTAGCAAGCATACGCACACCAATCACTTCATATCTCTTCATTTTAACTCTCAACTCTCTACGCATGTGTGCGTGTGTATCAATAGCACTTTCGATTGCGCGATGTCAGTTACACACACACACAAAAACATTTCGCACGCTCTGGCTCTCCAACTCTCTCACTTGGACTATGTAAACAACTCTTGATAATCCATTTATTGGCACTCATTTAGTCGGTGTGTTGTCGGCGTCGAAGCAAGTAAGTCGATTCCGATCATTCACTTGCACTATGGAATTGTTGCTTCGTTTACTGTTAATATTCGTTAAATTTGTTGCTATTATTGTGAACGCGCTACAAAGTGCGTATATCTGGGCACGTGGACGTCGCATAAAACCCTATGGCCTACCAGCAAACAGTAATCCCCTGCTGTCGCTTAGCATTCAGGAGCTGCGCATGCGACTTTGCACTCGGCAGGTAATTGAAGCAATCGAAGAGAGAAAAGTTATCTTTCGAAAAACTTTTGTGTCCAGTAGACAATTGCGATTGAAATGGAAAATTTTTTTTTTTTTTTGCATACGGTTAGACTTTAAACTGTTTTAAATTTTAGATAACTGCTGTTGAGCTGGTAGGCGCTTATATAGAGCGCATAAAAGACGTGAATAGCCGTCTGAATGCAGTCGTGTCGGATCGTTTCGAGCAAGCGTTGCGGGAAGCTGCAACTGTTGATGAGCGCATATATGAATGTGGCGATGACGTGGCACAGCTGTTCGAGAGGCAGCCGCTACTGGGTATGCCCGTCACCGTGAAGGAGTCCTGCGCCCTGGCCAACATGTCTTTTACGGTGGGCAGCCTGAGTAGAAGCGAGCAAAAGGCAACAGAGGATGGCGTTGTGGTTGCCCGGATACGCGCTGCTGGAGCGATACCCTTGCTGGTGTCAGCCACGCCCGAGTACTGCTATTCGACGAATACGGACACTTTGCTTAATGGGCGCTGCGTGAATCCATTCGATTTTGAGCGCACGCCGGGCGGCAGCTCAGGCGGAGAGGTTAGTTGGCTGAGAGTACAGTAGAGATTCTATAAAATGGCCTCCCCAAAATCTTCTGTAGGGCGCATTGAATGGAGCTGGCGCCTCGCTCTTTGGCATCGGCTCGGACATTGCTGGCTCCATACGTATTCCCAGTCTCTTCTGTGGCATCTTTGGCCACAAGCCCACTGGCGGCGTGGTGACACCCGCAGGCCACTTTCCTGACTCCAGCGATGCAGACTTCCAGCGATATTTGGTGCTGGGCCCGATGTCGCGCTTTGCAGTGGATCTCTCCCAGCTGCTGGAGCTGATGGCCGGCGAGCAGGCGGCGCAGCTGCGTTTGCATGAGCCTCTCCAGCTGAAGCAGCTGCAGGTGCACTACGCTTTGGGCTTTGAAGGTCTCAATGGTTGGATGCATCAGGACGTGGAGCAGGAAATCAAAACATCTATACTCAAGGCTGTGAAACACCTGCAAAAACTGGAAGTTCCTGTGCAGCGGGCAAATCTGAGGAGCTTCAACAATTCCCTGGAAATCGCGCTCAGTGGCATTGCACGTTTAGGTCACATGCCGTTTGTGTTGGACGCTGGACCCGCAGCTGGAGCTGAGGGCAAAGTGCTGGAAACGTTGAAGCAGCTAATTCGAAGTCTTTGTGGCAAATCTTCTTATAATACGAATTCCCTAATCTTTGACCTAATGCGACGGTGCAATGCGTTTATGCCCGCCCCCCGGCTAGAGCAGTATCGCCGTGAGGCAGTGGCGCTCACTCGAGAGTTGACTGTACGTACTTCCACATAACAGCAGCATTGATTTAGCTCCATTTCTCTCTAATCCTCCAGCAATTGCTTGGTGAAAACGGCGTCTTGCTCTTTCCCACAATGCATGCACCAGCTCCGAAGCATGGCTGGACACCTTTGCAGCTGTGGGGCGTGGATTATACTCTGCTGCTTAATGTGCTGGGTCTGCCGGCAACGCATGTGCCCATGGGAATTAATGGAAAGGGTTTGCCCATTGGATTCTCGGTGATTGCAGCTCCTTATCAGGATCGTCTTTGCCTGCGTGTGGCTGTAGAATTGGAGCGCGCCTTTAGCGGCTGGCAACCACCAACTTCCAAACAACCTTAGATTAATTTGCTACACTCGAACTAAATGAACTTATTAAATTTAAATTTTCACAATAAAATTTTTAAGAGCGTTTTATTATTCAAATATTAGCTTGCGCCATCTATCGTGAAAATTAAAAACTAAAGTCGCATTTTAAGGAAAAACGTGCTAAAAAATCACAATAAAATATTTATACCTACATTTATAATAAGAAAACTACTGTTGATAAAAAAATCACAATGTATGGAAAAAAAAATTGAAGTGGGCTTAATTTTAAAATCAATTTGACCTGAAATTTAAACAATCATTTAAAAATCTATATAATATATTACCAAATCTTTAAACCAAAAAGAGCTCTGAGTAGTTAAATTAAAAACATGTACACGCATTGACTTGTATATTTATATATTTTAATATACAAATAGTAATCAAAATCATTGGAACAACATTTAATTTTGTTATTAGAATTCATATGATAATTTTATTTCCCGCCTTTTGCATGCAAATGGATTGTTGTCCACTTTTAGGGAATTACTACAGCATTTTTGGTATTTTTCCCTTAGCATTCACTAACAGATGTTATAACGCTTCTCTCACTCACTCTCTCAATTGCACACGCAACTTGCACCAGCCATTTCAGGGTAGCTGTATTGGTGAGCTCGCGTGTGTTTCGTTTCGTGTGTGTTTTTCGTATCAGCGTTACTTCTGTCGGGTTCACTTCGTTTGTTGTCATTGCGCGAGAGACTTTCAACAAGAACGGACGTCGATTTGTAAACGCGAGCATAAGAAAAAAAATTGACAATATTGTTGGGAAGATATTCCGCATAACAAATATAACACAGACCATAGCATGGGAACTTAGCGGATTAACCTACTAAATACGTGTCTCAGTGATACGAAATTATTGATAGAAAAGCGAGAGATCAGAAACGTGATCTTGTAGCTCAGTGTATCACATAACCAATCAAGCTGGTCCAGAAATATTGCCTTTGCGCGTAATCGTCACTTCAACAGAAATAGAAACGAGAACGTACAACATTTTGTACAACAATTAAATAAATGTGCGCGTGTTCAAAATTTTGAAAACGCAACAACAAGTGGAAATACAACAACAAGAAGAACGGGAACGGGAAGTGCTCGCTCAACAAGTGTTACGAATAAGCACACTGGGATTATCTAATAAACCAATAATATACACAAGACTCATACCCGCACCTCCCCAAAATAATAATAAAAGAGATTATATACCAAATAGGCAGCATAAATATTAAATTTAAACCAGTCAAGTGTTTGAGAGCTGTGTGTGTGTGTCTGTGCCTCTGTATGCGTGTGTGTATGTGAAACGAGCAACAGCAGCTACAACTAAACAACAACAACAACAAGAGCAGCAGCAACAATACGGCAACGTCAACAACACGCAATTGCTGTGAGCGCGACGGAGACAGCAACAGCGTGAGTCATAAAAGTGAAATAAAAATGCGGATAAAGAGAGAAGCGCCGTGTCTACTGTTATTTATGCCAATCCCAAATAATAATAACAACAACAACAATCGCATTGGTGGTAAGTAGGAAAACGAAATCAGAAAATAAATATTTAATTCATATTAGCTAGAATTACTCACAAGTATTTTGAGATTAAAAACGAGGCAATTTTCCCGCTTGGAATGCCTGCTGTTTACTTTATAAACTTTGCGCGCTCAAGCGAATACCGCTTATAGAGCAGGGGAGGGCGGGGAGCAGTACACACGTAAGCAGCAGTAGTAAGCAGTGTTGTTCGGGCATGCTTTTTTCCCGTCAAATCTAGCTTTTTTATAGTAACGGGCAGCGGAAATTGCGGCTTATTTACTGAACAGCGTTTTCATAATCATAAATGTATCATTTTATTGGGCTATATTAATGATTTTAGTAAATTATCAATTCTTATCTAAGTCATAAGCATTGCTTCCGCTGAGGTAATGTATGGTTTATATGCCAAATTTTCGCAACTCGAACTAGCCTTATTTTTTTATACTGTAAAATCGGCAGCACTATTGTTTAGTGTAAGCGTCGTCAACGTTTGTCTGCCGTGCGGGCTAACGCCTGCCCCTGCGCCCTGCGCGCCCAATCGCAAGCGTTTTTAACGAGTCAGACTCGAAGTCAGAAGAGGCAGAGCGTCGGTTTCTACTTACTTCATACGTGACTCACATTCGCGTGTCTTTCAGAAATAAAAGCAAACGAAAAAAGAAGCTTTTTTTGTGGTTCGTTGAGAAAAAAAATGTAAAGCAAAGCAGGTTTGTGCGACAGACTGGCAACGCTGGCAACGAAACCCGCTTTGAAACGACCTTTCGAGTACGAATTCGTCGGCACAGCAACAGCAACAACAAGAAGAAAAAGCAACAGCCTCTGTTGGCAGCGGGCAGCAACAACTCTAAAACTTGGCGAAGTTTCAGTACCCACACACATACCTATATGATTATATGTACATACATCTATATATGTGTGTATATGTTTGCATGTATATATGTATGTATGTGTGCAGTGCATTGGCATGCGATTTGACTTGTTTCTGTTAGCCACAACAACAACAGGCAGCACAACATTTCCTGCCGCGAGTGAAAACTTTATATATATTTTTTTTTTGTTGGTTTTTGGCTTTTGAGGCTTTGAGGTCGCTCGAAACTGATAAGCGAAGTTTCAGCTCTATACGAATTGTTGCTTGCTTGTGTTTTTTTTTATTATTATTTTTTGTGCCTTGCTCAGCATAAAAGCCACAACCGCTAGAAACTGTTTATGCGGCAGCCACTGTGACTGATAAGGTTTCTACTCCTCACACACAAACAGGCATACACTAACACACACATGCGTTCGCCTATTCCCTGCCATTCAGTCCAATGATAAGCGCTTTCCAAGCTCGTGTGCCCTTTTTCTCTTGTCGTGTAAAGCTTTGCATTTGGGCCTCGCTTTGGTTACGTTTTTGCCTCGCTCTGCCTTGTGCGCTAATCAAGCTGCGTGCCGAAATAAATGTCTTACGTCAGTTTGTCAAACAGCAGTAGCGAATATTTGCCGCTTTTTGTTGTTGTTTATTTGATTTGAATGTATGTATGTATCTACGGATGTATGTATGTCTTAATGTATTCATGTGAGTCGGCGCGACAAGTTTTTAGGTATTGGTTCAGATCGAAAGCTGACGTCATTTGATCGCAGCCGAACGAACAAAACTCAATTCAAAATCAAAGAAATCTGAACATAATAAATTTATCTGTATTGCAGCTAATCACAAGGACTATCCCAACAACAAGCGATCCAGGGAAAATCTGGCATGTGACGAACAGCAGCTGACGACGACGTCAACGGCAGCAATGAACGTTGGCAGCAATGGCGGCCGAACGCCGCCGCTCATGCGCAGCTGCTCCAGTCCGGCGGTTTACGGTAAGTAAGCTTGTAACTGTAACTAAATACATATGTTTACATGTACACATACGTAGAATATATTGCACATCAAGTGCTGAGCACTTTCGAAATTAACCAGTTCGTATCGCAGTTGCAATTCTACTTCCAGTTGCAGCTATCTATTTTACCTGCTCGTTTATCAGCTGTCAAATCTGTTATCTGCATATTTGCATGTACGCTGTTTGTGCTTTTCATTGCATTTCATTTCCTAGTCAGACAGCCTAGCTTAGAGAGACCTTCTCCAACACTATACTTGATTAGCTTTCGCTCTTTGCTGCATTCTGCCTCCCTCCATCGCTCGCTTGTTCGTTGGCTCGCTTGCTCGCTCACACACGCGCTGTGTAAAGCTCTGCTTAACATTATAAATAAACAATGTGGTTTTTGTTTTAGCACGTGCTGCTATGATAAACATGATGCCATTTTTGCTCTCGTTCAGATCGTTTTATTCTTTTCGCACGTTATGAAATACAACATATGCACCACAAGCAGCAAAACATGCACAACAACAATGAGAATAATTGCACTTGACAAAAGCAAAACAAAAAAAAGAAAAACTAAAAATTAAGAGAGTAGCGCGAAATGTTCAATGTCGAACTTTTGGCAGCTGTATTGCCAAATGTAACAAATTACTCATTACGTTACGCTATTTGCTGGCTGAGCTTTTGCGTGAAGTGCAAAGTGTACAGAGCCCATGAGCTCAGCCCTAAATCTTATTGCTGAATGAGCGAGGAAGAGAGGGAGAGGACTGCTCCTGCTGCGACAGCGGTGGCTGTCACTGGTCAGCCATGTGATCGCGCTGTGATGCAAATAGATTTCAATGTCGCGCAGTTTTTATGACAGCGCTGAGATTTCTTACTGCCATCTCGCTCTGACCAACACACGTTTTCGAGAGCTTTCACGCACAGGTCACTCAAATGGCTGTTGTTGTTAGTGCTTTCCAATGCATTTGAAATTTTCTATTCCTGTTTACGTCACTGGCTCGGCTCAGCCTATCGCTTTTGAGTCATAATTTGTACGTTTTGCAGTTGCTGTTGCTGTAATTTAATTGCATCTACTTAATTGTGTTTGTTTTTGCACTTACTGTTTAATATGTTCATCATTATCAGTAGATGGCGTAAATACCCCGCATTTCATATTATGACAAATCACATTTTTGGGGTCGTTTTCCTGTTTGTGTGTGTGTGTGTGGGCCTTACCCTGAAGGTGTATGACTAATGCAATTGATTTCCGTGCCACACTGTGACCCACAAAACGTAATTACAAATACTAAATGCAAGTATGTATATATGTGTGTGTGTGTGTGAGTATGGGCCCAAAACATTGGGCCAGTTGTTGCCTTGGCTATCAATTAACACGCGAGCGACAGAAATAATCGATGAATTGGAAACAGCCCGCAGCATAATGCGCAGCCAACTAAGCATAGGCCCCACAATAGATACATAGATACACAGATATACAGATACAAAGATAGATGAACTGAACGATTGTGCGCCTCATTGAAAGTGCTACGAACCCAACCAAAAAAAAATGAGAAAAAAACGACGCAAATTATTGTGAGATGGCAAAGCAACCGCAAACGCGCGGGGGAAAATGGGCAGAGGGCAGCACCTCCAACAACCCAATCCAATCACCCATCCAACCACCCCCGCACAGCACCCACCCAGCCTAGCCAACACCCCTGGCTGCTTGGCCCGCTGCCGCCCACAGCAAATGCCAATAAAACTAAACTGTGTGCGATTGCTCGAATGACTCATGCAACAACAAACGAAGCGAAGGCGCAGCAACAACAAAAATAAACAACAATTTGTTGTACGAAATTTAGACGCTGTTGTAAACACATACACACACAGGCAGACACACACATAGATGCACACAACAATAGATACACAGCGCTGATCATCAACATCATTTGTGGCAACGGCTCTTTTGTTGCATGACATCGCAATTGGCAGACCCCAAAGAAAGAGCTAGAGCTACACTGAAAAAAATCATTATAATAATAGTTGATAATAGAGCAAAGTTTGAAATCTTATAAGTTAATAGATACAGATTTTAAAAAACTAATATGAATTAAAAATAATTGTGAAGCTAAAAAAAAATCATCCCAAAATTTGCAGAAAAATTTAACTTAAGAAAATATTAATAAATTTGATTTAAAGTTTTCTGTGAAAAAATTATTCAGAGCTGAAGTTCTTAGAAACGCAGCAATCTCAAAGAACATTTTAAATCATAAATAAAAAATGAAAAAATAAAAAAAATTATAAATTATATTAAGTTCTAAGAAAACATGAAAATCTGCAAAATTATTATTCATTATTTTGAAAGGAAAAAAGTTTTGTTGAAATGAAAAAAAGTTTGATTTGATCAGAATTTATAACAAATTTTTATAACTTTTTTTTCGACCTATCGATTTATATCTGAAATATCCATATATTTAATTGGCAATTTATCGATTTCTTTTGCAGATATCGAAACACATCCCGCTTCGCCAGTATTCCCACATCTGCTGCTGGGCAATGGCCGCGATGCGGACGATCCCAGCAGCGTGGGCGCCAATTGTGTGTTGAATGTTACCTGCCAAAGTCCCAGCGAGAGTCATCTGCAGGGCCTGAAGTATATGCAAATACCTGCCAGCGATACGCCCCATCAAAATATCAAGCAATATTTTCAGGAGGCATTCGATTTCATAGGTAAGTTTATCCAACTATCGATAATCGATAATAATCGATAGACTGATAAAACAGGCTTTAAGTGAAAAGAATGGCGTAAGGGCGAGGGGCTGGGCTTTGGTGTCTGATTTGCGTAACGGAAAATTCACTTGCCTTGTCTTTTTTACTGCTGCCAAAGCAGTTTTTGCTTTTTCTTTTCACTTCTCTCTCTCTTTTCAAGGCATATTCAAAGCACAAGAAGCTCGTTTATTTAGTTAATTTTAAGTGTAATACGTATGTCTACATGTATACATACATACGTCTATATATACATGTACGTATATGTGTATTTGAATGTTCCGTCTGTGCTATAGTATCTATAGCCGTGGAATATTTTGCTGACGTCAATCGCATTTTTCCATTTTCGTTTTTCTCTCAGCAAAAGTTCTTCTACATTTAAAATTTTTTTTACTTAAATTTATTTATGTTTTTTTTTGTATAACTAGCGTTCTAGCGGCACGTGGGCGCACGAGCTTAACATTGTTATTTTTTTTCCTTCTTGATTTTTGTTTTTTAAATATTTTATTCAAAAACAATTGACAAATGTGTTTTGGGGCAGCTTTTTGAAGATCGCGTGCGGCTAATTTAGAAGTGTAATAAAATATTTTGACATGCGTTCTTGAAGATTAAAAATAAGTTGAAAAAAATAGATATATATTGAATACATAAATAAACTGCAGGAAATAAGGTATATTGAAAGTTTTGAATCATCAGCTTGTATTTATAGTTTTTTCAAATATATTTAAAAATTTTCTATTCAAATTCAAATTGAAAACTAACTGGAAAAGTTTGCTGAATTTCATAGGCAATTTACAGTGTTAATTGAAAGCTTTTTTCAAAGCTTTCGCTTGCTAATTTGTAGATTTATCAGCAATATTGCAACTTTAAATGCCTTTTTTTATATTTTCATAAATTATTTAAACTTATGTTTCATAATATATAATAATATAAAATAAAATTAAAATTTTGATAAAACGCAGTGTGAGCATAAATATGCCCCATCAACGCTGCGTAGGGTATATAACAATTTGTCTGCCTGGCTTCAGCCTAACTGTTGGAAGGGTCAGCGATTCCCGCCTACTTCCCATATCCTCTGAGCGCCTGCCAGCTCCTACGCTTTCCACGGCATTCGTCGGCAAAGCGACGTCATTGTTGTTGTTGCGTGTTGGCGTTGGCAGACAGCATGGCGGCTGCGGCGACGTTGCCGTCGTCATTGTTTGTCGTCGTTGTTGCGACTCGGCTGTGACTACGACTTCGACTTTGACTTCGACGTCGACGGCGACTGTGCTGCTCCTGTGTTTTGGTTTTGTTTGCGCTTTGCATAATGGTCGATGACGCTGACGTCCAGCTCAGAGTTCCATATTTACGCCATTACGCATAAATCTCTATATATATATACATATATATGTATGTGTGTGTGTGTGAAATGGAAACTTTATGCAAATTAGCCGTCGCAGCAGCGGCAGCGAGAACCGCAAACGTCCTTTCTGATAAGGGTTGTCACCCTGCCCGAGTGCCCTCTCCCTTGATTGTGCTTCGTCTAGCTGCCGCTACTGTTGGTGTACACGTTCTTTTTCTGGCCGCCACTGTAGACATGCCGCATGACTCATCGTTCGTTTACATGCAATGTGGAACAGCACACACACACACACATAAATATATACATATATTTACCGGGGCACACTCCTTGTAGCATTCAGCCATCCGCATCGATTTTTTCGTCTTATTGTTGCTATTTATTGCCGCCAGCGCCGCCGACGCTGCCAACGGCACTTCACCCCCGCCAGCTGTGGCTGTGGCTGCGGCTGTCGCTGCCCGCTGCGCTGCTGGGTCGCTACTTCTGCTTGTTGGCATATGTTCTATTTTTAAGCGCACGTCGCTCAGGACGACGCCGACGTATTTCGATTGTTGTTGTTGTTGTCGTCCGTCGTCATTTAGTTCCTGTTTATGAGTCATCGCTTCTTGCTTTTGTTGGCATTATCCTTGATGCGCGGCCTCGACAATGCGCTGACGTTGACGTCACAGCTGGCTGCCGTTGCTGTCGCCGTCGCCGTCGCCGTCGCCTTGATTGGTGCTGCTGCTGGCGCTGCTGGTGTTGCTGTCAGGTGCGTGTGCAGCAACAGCTGTTGGTTTTGGCTGATCATCTTCCATACGCATTTGTCTGGCTGTTTGAGGAAGCAACCAACCAACACCCACGCACTACCCCAACTCCTCTCGTTCAGCTCTCTCCAAAGCCAAAAACATGTTCAAGTATGCATTATTTTTGTAACTGTTCTGTTCGGCGCTCTCTCACACCAAGTTCTCGCGCTCTCACCACTCACTCACTCACTCACTCACTCACTCACTTGCTCGCTCACTCACTCGCTCGCTGTTTGCTGCCAAAACACATTAGTACTCAGGCACGAAATAAAAGAAGAAAAAAATATTGTGAACGAGTGCTATGAGTCATGATTTTGCCTCAGCCGTTGCCACCTCCCTCCCATTCCGTTCCGTTCCGTCCCATCCCGTCCCGTTCGTCCGGCTGCTAATGCCACTGGCACTGCCTGCCTTTTGCGCATTCGTTTTGTGTCATTGTTGTTGGCTCCGTCGTCACCTTATGCTTATTATTATTACTCTTATGATTGTCTGTATTTCTTATACTACTTATGATTTCTCATTGTTGCTGTTGCTGCTGCGTTTCATTCATTCATCACAATATAACAGCACTTTGTGTTGTCCATGCGTGCGCGCGTGCGAGCGAGATGGGGGCAAGCACCGCTAAGTGTTGCTTGAAAGCAACGTCTCATTACGAGTGAATTGTCGTGTTGCTCATGTCTCATTATGCTCGGACTCTGACTCTGACTCGGTTTTTGTCATTAACACTAGTTGAGCATAAATAGGTAAATGAGCTTTTCAGCACTATGGCCCCACTTGGCCTAGAAACCAATCAAACTAAACGAACGACCCACAAACAAGCATTTGACACACGATAAGCGGGCCCCAAAGGCCCAACCAATCAATTTTGAAAGTAACGCCAGCCTGTCTGATTAGACTGTACCTTAATAACACTGACTGTACAGTGTGCTCAGTAGAGGCACGCCAATTGGGCACACCTCGGCTGCACAGGTGATGGGCAAGAAAGCTCACTTATTAAATGCAATTTGGTTTCAATTACTGGAAACTTGGACTTATTGGAGAATATTACGAATATTTCTAAGAAATACATGTATTTAGCGAAAGAATATTCTAAAAGTTCAAACTTCTCGAGCATTCATCGTATATGCTGAGGTCTATATACACACACACATATATATATATATATATACATATATTTGTGCAGTTAACTTATCAAAAGTTTACTATCTGGTCGCCAACAGAGGCCTCTTTTGAGGCACGCCGGGGCATTCAAGTTGACGCACAGCTAAATAAACTCGAAACGGAGCCCGAGCCTTTCATTTACTTTTCCAGCACCTATACCTTTAGGTATATTTAAAATATATCTCTATTTGATAATAACACACACAGGCGCAACAACTAGTACAGAAGTTTTTATCAGACAGGTCTGACGAGCAAAGCGATTAGATAAGAGCTCGAGTCAAGTTTACGTGAACTCCACGAGCAGCAGTATTTGCAGCGAAATGTCAGAGATAGTAATGCTCAACGTTTGCCCAGTAATCCTGCAATCCCTGGGACTGGCTCGAGCGCTCCAACGTTCGATCGTCCGATGGCCCGATCGTCCGATCGCTAGCCGTCGGATGACTAACGCAACGAGCGGCCTCGAGGCGACATTTTTGTTGGCCCCGTGCACATAATTTCAATATTCGTCAGCGAGCTATTTATAAAATGCAAAACAAAAAAAAAAACAAAAAAAGAAGAAACACAAATCTCTTTCTGTGTGCAGGAATTTTGAAAATTTTCGAACTGTGCCGAGCGCAAGAAATTTGTATGAAAACACTTCATCATGAACATTGTATTATTACAAGGAAGAAATAACAAACGCCCCCGACGGATCTCCATGACACTCAGTATTACTACGAGAAAGAAAGAGAGAGAGGGGAGAGTCAGAAAGAGAGAGAGAGAGAGACTTACTCGCATAATTCTTGAATTTGTTTATAAAAACTTTTCGCGTATTATGAATCACAATATCGCGAGCCGGCCAGAAAGACATATATAAATATGTGTATATAGCCTCCGATATCCCCCTGCTCATTATTGGTGGCCGGGTTTTTGGGTTGAAGGCAATATCAAAGTGCGAGCGGCGCGCAAATCTCTCAAGTCGAACTTGGAACTGCTTTGTTTCCGTATGACTCGTCGTCGTTGTCGTTTCTCGTTGTCAAGTTGAAGGTCAGCTGCATATCCATCAGCTGCTTGACCGACTGATGATTCATGCTCCGGATCGATGGAGTGTCGTTCATCCTAAGGAGGCACCTGCAGCGATTGCAGCCCGGACTTCGGAACGATTACGATGCGGCGCTGGCGCTGGCGCTGCCTAGGCGCAGCTGAATGAGTAAGCGTTACGATTATTTTTGGGCGTGTTCGACTCGGGAGTTACTACAGTCGTGACATATATATGGAAAGAGACAGGGGCATGACTTGTCATATTAAGGATTTTATATTTCAATAACTTTGATTCATTATGAAGCTTTTAGTAGTGTTTGGAAGCTTAAGATATTCAACAAGTTAAGTAGCTCCTAACTAAGATACAACTGAAATGATAGAAAAATATTTGCAGCATCTGTAAAGCACTCTATATATGCTAAAAATCTGTATTACTCGATATCTTGCAAATATCAATCTTTAAATGGTGAAAAAACGTCTTCACTGTAATCGATAATTATCGATTTTAACTGAATTTGCTGAAATTAATGCATTCAGTTAGATAAACAAACGTGGGAACTGCTACACTTTTGATGCTGTTCAATAATTTTCATGCCTCGCCTTTGCCTGTCACATGCTCAGTCATAATTTTAGCATAGCCCACTTCCCTTTGATCATTTTTAATGGCTACAGGGTATTAACGGCAACTCGAAAGTAATTAAATATTTTAAAACAAACAAACTACTTGTTGCCCGGCGAGACACGAGCACAGACAAGAAACACACACGCACACACACACACACACACACACACATATATATATATATATATAGACCTACACATGTGAAGAGTCATATATAGACGATATCATGTTGCTGGGCTCTGGCTTTGGTCTGGTGGTTGTTTCACTCTCTTTCGCTGTTGCTTCTGGCCATGACTCACAGGAGTCGGTTGCAAGGTAACCGAGTGGCAGTCAGTCTGACTGACCCTTAGCGCCTTGGCTTAATCATCAACAGCAGCATCGCCAAAAAGTGAAAATGATTTGGGAATGGGAACAAGAATAACATTATTCTCAACGGATAGGCTCCGTCTGTTTGGCCCAGTTCTCTGTGACGCACCACAGGCACAGGCGATCGTCGGTTGTTGGCTCTGTTGCCGTTGTTGCTGTTGCTGTTGCTGTTGCTGTTGCACTTAATCATCCGACGCACGGTCGCACGACAGTTTTTGGCTACCCAAAGTTGGCATTACGCATCAGCCGCCCCAATTTGGAGTCACGACGACGTTGACGCCGTCGACAGCCCTATGAATGGGATTGCGCTTTAATAGACACGATTCAGAGCCACTCATCGCCGGGCTATGCGACAGCTTCGTTTAGTCATAAATGTCGCACCGTAATTGATGATTACTAATGCCTTCCCCGGTGGCATAAACAATATGCATATGGCCAGGCTATTGGCAATTACCATCTAAAACGGCTTTTTCTCGATAAAAAAAAGTATACCGTTCGACAGACGGTTTCCCCAGTCTCCAATCTCCAATTGCCAATTGCCAATTGCCAATCGCCAATCGCCCAACGCCTCAGTTCGAGTTCCGTTTCATATGAATAGACTACGTAACTTCCGTTGAAGATATGTCTGGGAATGTGCAACTCGCACTTGCCTAGCCTCATCTAAAAGGAATGTTCAAGTTCGCAAGTTAGATCATTTATATGAGAGAATCGTTCCGATTCTAGACGTGATCCAAATTTACAATCTTCATATATATAATATATTTAAATATAATACTATAATATAGTATAACACTGCACAATATTCTTGCGCTAGTTAAAAAGCTCTACGAATTCCGATTTCTATATCTATCGGCGCAAACACTTTGTTTATTCATTAAATATTTATCAACAAAGTCAAGTTCTTTTGATATTTCACATTACTCACTGCATTTTCATAATATTGAATGATGCAAGCGCAAACAAACAAGGATCTTTCAGTCATATGTGAAAGGCATGATGTCATAGACCATTTTATAAAGCAACCTAAATAAAGTTAATTGTATTAATTATCACAAGCTTAATCTAGGCACTCGTATATAACCTGATAATTCATATAGAGTGACTAGCTATATAAACACACACAATGCTGATCATGTTGACAAATTGCGGCTATAAATATCTATTCTTATATTATCCTGAACTTTTGTGGGCATATTGGCTATCAAGTATATAGAGATCACTATATCAAGCATACTTTATAGATTTATATCTCCAGACATTACTATTTAAGCTTCCTTCGTCTTCTTTTTCTATAGATTCAGATTGGAATTCAAATCTTTATTTAGTTACAAAAGTACAGCTCTTCACTCATATCAAGTATATTTCCTAGTTCCGCTTGGTATTTCATTATTATTTCAGCATTTTTTTTTCTTCTTCCAAGCCATTCAAGCTTAACTGGGGATTTGCACCCGGATTCTGCTTATTCATTGATTCAGTCAGTTCTCCAAAAACTTTTTGTAGATGTTTATCATAAATCGACTTGGGCATTTAAATATAATTTTGGTCTTCTTCTTCTTTTTCTATAGTTATGTTATTTGCTTAGTCTAACAGGAATTTTCAGCATTTCCTTGATGCGCTTGAGTATTCCAAAATTCTTCTAAAATTCTTGTTCTTTAGATTTGTAATATCCTTATCAATGGATGCTTGGCTTCTTCTATTAGTCAACTGTGATTTATGGCTTCAGAGTTCCGCTTAAAATGATCTCACTATAAATACATGCATATATATATTTATATATATATATATATATATAGTTAGCAGAGTCTGAGAAAGAACATCAAGTTGTTTGGCAAGTTCTTCCCCTCTTGGTGAGCGTTTAGCCTAGTCTAAGACTGGCTAATAGTGTCGTGGCCCACTGTCTGTTGCGGCTTTTCAGTGCCTCCTCAATGTGGCCAATGAGTCACACACACACACACACACACACACATGAGGCAGGCGGGTTGGGCGCGTTTATGGCGCGTTTTATGCGCGTTTTTAACTGTCTGTGCGACGGGGTCATTAACTAAGAGGATTTATGAGCAGCAGGCGCACGGTGACCAGTTGTCTGCTGACGACAAAAGCCTCAAGCACACACACACACACACATGTATAGCTCTGAGTATGTTTATTTTTGGCATTGCCTAGCATTGCGAATATGCTATATATATACAAATGTATGCTATATAGATATATCTATCCTTAAAAAAAATAGGCAGCTGAAATGGCTGACAATTTGTATTATCATCATGATGCAGCCGCCACAAACTTTTGAAATAATTTTATTTGAAAAAAGTTAATTTCAAAAAATCTAAAGTTATTTTATTTTTTTAAATAATTAAATTTTACAAAAAAATTTAAAACTATTTATTTTTAATTTAAATTAAATCAATTTTTTTTAATTTTTCCCGTTTAACTTATCTCCTTAACTTAACTTAACTTAACCAACTGCTGCAGCTGTTTGCTGTAGTGCTTGTCCACTGTACTTGACCAATTATCATTTTTATTTGCTATTATTATTTATGACTATTATTTATAATGGTTTTTCCACCTTTGACGACTCATAATTGCATTATCATCGTTGTTGCCACAGTTAACTTGTTTTTTATTTCATATGGCTCTCAATGCCTAATGGTGATAAGCATTAACTTGATTTGATTTTCCTGGCCACACTTGAAAACACCGCATGAAAGACATATTGTGTGTGTCTGTGTTTTTGTAATACAGTTACTTGTTGTACGTTGTTGTACAACAACAGCAAATAGTCGTTCGTTCGTCTTATCAGGCCAACACTTTGCACTCGTTCATTGATAAATCGCGCAGTGTGTGCGTGTGTGTGTGTGTTTGCTGTAGCTTGTTTTGTGATAAATTGCCTTTGCTAACCACTCGAAATTTCCAGGCGCAATTCACTAGAGGATTTGTACGCAATGTCGCTGCAAAAACTCTTATCACTGCTAACTGAATTATTGACTGTATTAGCTGGTAGGGGGCGATTGTAAGTAGGGGCTGGAGAGGTCTGCCAATAGATGGCGCCCGCCTGGCGAAGTGTCCGCTGACGACAACACGATGACTAATAGCGATTGACGAACTGCAAGGCTCAAAATGCTGCTTATCAGCTACGTCGTGTTTGGAAATCAGACAAGTGTATACATGCTTATATATACAGCACACAAACACATGCACACACATGCGTGTGTGTATATGAGTAATCATTGATTAGCAACTGCAAGGCTTGTACGCTCTCCCGCCCCTCTTTTGCGATTAGATAGCCATAGGCAAGAAATGCTGCGTAGGGTGGTTGCTATTTCAGCACCACCCCAAAGAAAAAATATATATATAAATACATGTATATGTGCGAGTATATATAAAACAGAAAACGAAAGGCTAAACGAAGCTGCGTATGTTGCCTGGCCTGGCGTACGTTATCTTGCCCAAAAATAACAACGTAAATTATGAGTTAATGTGCGCGAGTTTATGTGTGCGTGTGTGTGTAAATATTCTCGATTGCTGTGTTTGTCAATAAAGCGTTTGCATGACTCATCCATCCATTGCACAGCAAGCAGCACTCACACACACACACAAATACACACGCGCACTCAGACGCTAGCGTGAGAGCAATATACGCATACAATTACAATTTATTGACAGCGCTGAGCGAGCGCCAATATCAGCAACAACATCACAGCTTAAAAGCCCGCGGCAACAGAAAGTTTCTCACTTGAATACATGCTCAACTTAGTGAGCGGAAGAGCAGCTATGTGTATATGTGTGTGTGCATGTAGAATGAGAGAGCGCGAGAGCGCGTAAGTTGGCAGCAATTATTTTGCGTTGTCGATAAATTTTTCGAGCTGCTGCTGAATAATAATTTGTTTTAACTTTTATTTATTTATTTTTGCATTTGGCGTTACTAATTGGCAATTGTTGATGCAAATCGAGGCGCCTTATCAACTGATAAGCAAATATTATATTATTAAATGCAATTTTAAACAATTCTCATTTTTCTTTCTGATCTGTTTCTTGCAGAGGATGCACGCAAAACAGGTTCGCGCGTCTTGTTGCATTGTCATGCGGGCATCTCGCGCAGCGCCACCATCGCCATTGCCTACGTCATGCGATACAAGTCGCTATCGCTGATCGAGGCCTACAAGCTGGTGAAAGTGGCCCGGCCCATCATCTCGCCCAATCTGAACTTCATGGGCCAGCTGCTCGAGCTGGAGCAGAGCCTGCTGAAGAGCGGCGCCTTGGCGCCTCTGCCCACTGTAACATCCGCATCGCCCGCTGTCAGCAGCCAGTCGCCAGCATCTAGTCAGCTCGTGGAAGAGCCCGAGGAGGAGGAGGCGAATCAAATGCCAGTTTCACGCAAATCTAAATCGGATAGCGAGGCCATGGACGAGGACGTTTATGATTATGACGATGTGGATAGTGGTGCTAGCAGCTTTGCCGGCAGCAACTGCTCATCGCGACTAACCTCACCGCCCGTCACACCGGATGAGACGCCCTGCACATCGGCAGCGGCGGCGGCGGCATCATCGTCGTCGGCGGCAGCTACTGAACTGGATTCACCTTGCTCCAATAGCAGCAGCGGCGTCTACTCCATTTCAACGTCGCAAGAGTTCGCACCTGCTGCTGCTACGCCCGCACCTGTTATACCTGCTGCAACGCCGGCGACGTTGTCGCCCACGCGACCGCTGGCGCTCTTCAAGCGCAACTCGCCGGTTAAGCTGCGACTCAATCTCGAGCCCAGCTATAACACGCCAAACATACCAAAATCCATATCCTGCATATCCATACACAATGCCAGCCAGCACAGTCCGCTGCAGAGGGAGGCGCCAGCCACGCCCAGCTGTGAGCTGGCGCCCACAATGCCAGGTGACAACAACAACAATTTGGTGGCGGCCACGTCGAGTGATTGATGCATCAGGCGGAGGCGACGCCACCGACGCCCCAAAGCTGTGAATAAAATAAAACTTATGAGTACATTTAAGTGATGCGAAATTTTGTATTTTATATATACAGAGCATGATTGAATGGATTGATTGATTGTTGATTGATTGGTTGATTGATAGCTAGCCTCACTCACTACTGTATGAATTGAGCGTGTATATTTTGTACCTAAACAAAGGAAATGAAAACTTCTGAAAAACTAAGCAACAAACAACTAATGCATCCAAAAGTTTGTGACAAATGCGAACGGAATATGTAGTCTAATTTGTAATTTTAAAACCTTTGTAATCTATTTTGGATCACAACAAGAGAAAAGAACGGTAAAGAGAACCCGATGCAAAATGGATCAACTATATTCGTAAAGCATCGAACTATATATCTTGTGCTGCTATTATAAATTGTTTAAAAACCTCGTAATGTTTAATTTAGTATAATTTATGATGATAAGCAAATCTTAACTATTCATATAGTAAACAAAATAATCATAAACAAAAACAAAAACAAAAAAAAAGAATACAAAAAACAACAAAAGATTATAATGAACTTTACAAGCGCATTGCAAATATTTCTGCTAACTTGCCCAAAATCAACAAATTCACAAATCCAAATCCCCAATTAGAAAGATGTTTACTATATCTATAATACTATATTATCAAAACTGTTCTAAGTTTTATGCAACTACTGTATCCACACACACACATATATATTGTACACTCAGTCACGCTTTTCAAACTTATAATTGCATGTATGTATGTATTGTATATTTAAACTTTTTTCAAGTGAGCAAGCAACTTTGTTTGGTTTTGTGTTTGTGTTTTTCTAGTTTTAATTATTTATATAAAAAACAACAACAACAACAGAAAAGGAACAGATGAGAGAGAATTGTATGAACGAGAGAATTGTATGCAATCTGATTCATTTGGTTTAGTTTTTAAGCATTTTAAATTAAGGATCTACACCCAAGCAGTGTAACCCGTAATAGAAAACATAAAAAAGTAACCAAAATATCAACCGACTTTTATTCAAATTAGACTTTTGGCGCCAACAAAACTATTGACGAATATCGCATCACTAGAAATGGTGTGGAAACGTGATCGTTTGCAGCCCTGCTTATTAAGTTATACAACACTGACAAGTCCAGCTCATGTTCGTTGCGAGCGCCCGTTTGATTTGTGTTGATTATTGTGCCCTGCTGACAATTGTAAGTGATGTGTGGTTTAATTTTAAATACATTATTTAAGTATTTACCGTACATCTGCTCTTCGCTCTTAATAAATTAAAAGTAACTGTGGTAATTCGCTTATTGTTATAGTTTTGAATTTGCTGGAAAGAAACATCGCCATTTTGGGACCTATACCGAACAAATTTACCGTTTAATCGCTGACATTGCACATACTCAAATTGGAAATTTGAGTGTTGCGAATTTTTCAAAATGTCGGAATTAGATTGGGATGACCCGAACTATATTGAGGAACCAACAAACTACTCGCAGTCTACATACAATGAGAAGTATGATGATAACTATTCTCGGGACCGTCGTGCGAACTATGGCAGCAACAATAAGCGTGACAGAGAGCAGCGCGAAGGCTACTGTAGCAGTAAACGTCGCGAGAGCTATGACAGAGATAACGGCTGCTTCGCGAAGAATGCTGAGCACGCGTACAGCGAATCATTGAAAATCTCCACAGATATGGTGGGCCGTGTAATTGGACGTGGTGGCTCCAATATAACGCGGATTCAGAACGATTTCACAGTTCGGGTCAATGTAGATAAGGTCCGGCTGCTGGTCAGAGTATCGGGTAGTGTGAAAGTTAATGTTAACAATGCGATAGACGAGATACGCAAACAAATTCACAGCGATGGAGGCGGCTATAGTCATCCGGCAGAGAGTGGCGGCAATGGCTATGGACGCTCTAGTGCCGGCGGATATGGCCGATACGAGGATGGAAGTTCCACTCGTTCCAACGGTGGTGGACGATCTAGCCAAAATAGCTATGGCGGAGGCCGAAGCAATTATGATTTTTCATCATCAACAGCCGATAAAGCTAACGATGGCGATTTGACGGGCACCATAGATTGGGAAGCCCTGAACAAGGCCTCAGTGAGAAAGTTAAATATAGAAAGTAAAATCTAATATTAAAATTCATGTTGTAACAGGAGATCGCGCAGGCCGCACGCTGGGCCAAGTGTCCACAGTTAACAAAGCACTTCTACAAGGAGCTTCCAGAGGTGGCTAATCTACCAGAGGCGGAGGTAGCTCGTCTACGCTTGGATAACAACAATATTAGTGTTTCGCATGTCTTTGAAGCGCAGGAGGGCGAAATCTTGTCGCCCATACCGAATCCTGTATGGGCATTCGAGCAATGCTTTGCCGAATATCCCGATTTGCTCGGCGAAATACAGAAACAGGGCTTTACAAAGCCCTCGCCCATACAGTGCCAAGCCTGGCCCATTCTGCTCAAGGGTCACGATATGATTGGCATTGCGCAAACGGGCACCGGAAAGACACTTGCCTTTCTACTGCCTGGCATGATCCACACCGAATACCAGAGCACACCTCGTGGTACACGAGGTGGTGCCAATGTCCTGATCTTAGCCCCCACACGAGAGCTGGCCCTTCAGATTGAAATGGAGGTGAAGAAGTATTCCTTTCGCAATATGAAAGCGTAAGTTAGAAGTTGAAAAGAGTCCCCACATTTATCTTGATTCTTTAAATAGCGTTTGCGTCTATGGGGGCGGCAATCGTAAGATGCAAATTTCGGATGTGGAACGTGGCGCTGAGATCATTATCTGTACGCCTGGACGCTTAAATGATCTGGTGCAGGCCGGCGTTATCAATGTGTCAACCATTACCTATCTGGTGTTGGATGAAGCCGATCGCATGCTGGACATGGGCTTTGAGCCGCAGATACGCAAGGTGCTGTTGGACATACGGCCGGATAGACAAACCATCATGACATCGGCCACCTGGCCGCCAGGTGTCCGTCGTCTGGCGCAAAGCTATATGAAGAATCCCATACAGGTCTGCGTCGGTTCACTGGATCTGGCTGCTACACATTCCGTCAATCAGTTCATTGAACTACTGCAGGATGATAAGGATAAATTCCACATGCTTCGAAAGTTTGTGAAAAACATGTCCGAAACGGATAAGATTATTGTATTCTGCGGACGGAAAGCACGTGCAGATGATCTGTCCAGCGATTTGACTCTGAATGGATTTGCTACACAGTGCATACACGGAAATCGGGAGCAGAGCGACCGAGAGCAGGCCATAGCTGATATTAAGTCGGGCTTGGTGCGTATTCTAATTGCCACCGATGTCGCCTCACGCGGTCTGGACATTGAGGATATAACGTGAGTGCTTCTTGTATATTATAATTGATTGCTTATGATATTTCTGTCTGCCTTTCAGGCATGTCATCAACTACGACTTTCCACGCAATATAGAGGAGTATGTGCATCGTGTAGGTCGCACGGGCAGAGCTGGTCGACGGGGTACATCCATTAGCTTTATTACACGTGAGGACTGGGCCATGGCCAAGGAGCTGATTCAGATATTGGAAGAGGCTGACCAGAAAGTGCCAGAGGAGCTGCGTCGCATGTCCACGCGATTCTCAGAAATGAAACAACGTCGAGCAGCTGAAGGTGGGGGAGGTGGACGTAGTTTTGGAGGTGGTGGGCGTGGCTTTGGTGGTGGTGGCGGTCATCGGGATCGTTTTTAAAACGGACAACATTCGTATAATGATCTAAGCAAAAAAGATTTTTGTTTAACAAACAACTTCAGACAACGCATTGAAGCGATCGATTTTTTTAGTTATGTACTAAACTATCTCCAGTTTTACAGGGTATCAAATGTATATAGTAACCATTAAAAAAAACTACATAAATATATGTGAGAGATGTAATGTAAATGTTTTTAATTTGCGACTCCTGTGTATTTTTGCAGTAGTTCCTGTTTACGCTTTCGCAGCAGCGCCTCTTGCACATCCTGCTGCGTGGGCACAGGCACATGGGCAGTGAAGCGCGGTGCGAGCAGTCCGAGTGGATCATTTTCGGCTGCGCGTGTTTTGGCATCTTCGGCGGCTTCCCGTGCCGGTCCAGAGAGCGGATAGATTTCATCGTCGTCCTCCTCGTCATCAATGATACGACCATCGCGCGCCATTTTCTCACGCCACTCCTGCACTGCTTTCTGCAGAGCGATCCGCTCAATCTTCTCCTCCAGCGGTATTAGTACGCCGTCCTCGTCGTCGCGATAGCCATAGTATTCGGCATCAATGTCTTTCATGAGCTCGGCACGAGTTTTACGCGGCGGTGGCGGTGGATCCTGTTCAAAAAGTTCGCGCACGCCAGGCAAATCCTTAGCGGCTCCAAAGTACTTGTAGCCACGATTGCCCGGCACCTCGCGGCCCTCGGCGTCGAACATTTTTGGACCATAGCGACGATAGTGAGGACCGCCTAGCGATGATATCTGATTCTCCCAATGGCGCTTCTCGCGCAGCAGCTTGTTAATCTCATCGTTGAGATCGCGAATTCGGAATTCACCCAAACCAGCTGTAAAATGAATCTCGTTATATTGCATTGGTAAACGTGGAACTTTAATCACTTACCATTTTGTATTTGTGCTACTTTCTTGGATATTTCCCGTATAATCTCCAGACGAAATTTCTCACATTTTGGCAGTTCGTGGCACTCCGAGGCCAGGTAAGGCCGGCGCTCCTTTTCACCTGATTCGACTTCTTTGGCGGCTCGCCAACGCGCCAAAGTTGTCCTGCAGGCAGAGAAAGAGGAATAAATAAAAGAAAATACATTTTCGAGTATATACGAAACTTACATTGCCTTCTCTGCATTTCTTGCCTGAAATCAATTTGTGGTTATAAATTTATCTAATCATTTAACTAAGAAAACGTTTACTTACCATTTTAATATATTGTTTATGTTTCTTTTTGTGGTGGCCGGTTGATAACGTTAATGAATCGGCAGTCACCACGAGTCGATTGCAAATTAGCATCGATTACTGTAAGCTGTTACTGCTGTTAAATAACAGCTGGTTTTGTTTTTATACTTCAGCCGTTGCCAGCTGTTAAATTACACATCGGGGCTGTTTAATAGCGCAGCTGAGCTCCCGTTTAGAATAAAGTTTACTAGAGAAACGTAGAATAATTTATTAAAATCATATTTCCTCTTTAAGTATGCACAAAAAGTCGACTGCTTTGGAATAACAACAAATAAAACAATGACTAAGTAACGAGCTAAATGAACTAGCAGTTCAGTCAATCGTTCATTTGTTCAGTAGTTCGATTACATTTGTTCCGATACAATACCACTGCTGTTTCGCATACGCCATTTATTTGCAAGGAAAAAATAAAAAGCAATTAACAAAACAGAATAAATATGTTGGCGCTTATCAACAGGATTCTGGACTGGTTCAAGAGCATCTTTTGGAAAGAGGAGATGGAGTTGACGCTTGTCGGTCTCCAATTCTCTGGCAAAACAACATTCGTCAATGTTATTGCAGTGAGTATTTTTTTCGCCAAATTTTTTTTTTTTGCTTTGATGAGTGTAAATGGGGCGGCGCCAGTTTTTAAGCGGTCGGCAAGGGGTCAAAAGAGCAGCGTGCCGCAGGCTATGACAATGCAGGAGCCCAATAACCAATAAACCAATTGCCTTCGGCGCGGTGGAGCGGGCGGCGGCAGGTGACAAATCGAGCGCTGTTGCTATTCCGATGTTTGCTATTGATTTCTCTTTGTTTCCAAAAAAATAAGAAGGAAGCAAACGTCATGCAGTTATCAAGTATATTTTTTCGTTCTTTCTTTTCGCTCAGACACAGTTAGCTTCACTTCGAACCTATTTTTATTGTTCCTCGCGCTAATCAATATATATATTTGTAACGTGTATATTTGCTTAAGTGACGCCATTATCAGCGCTCTAGAGTCGTTTGCCTATTCCAGAAACCCAATTCACTGATAATTTCCAATTCGAACTTTAAATCTGACTACAAATAGTAAAGCATGCGGGTGGCGTTGCTGTTGCTGTGAGTCATGTGGCTGCGGCTAAATAAAATTCTTAAGCTAACTAAAAACACATGCCACAAGAATTTCCAGAGAAGTAAACCTGAGCTCATTATCTTGATCTGCGAAGTCTCGATTGCTCAAGTTTCAAGCAATAGTTGATTCACCTCCTATATACCCTACATGTGCAGTGAAGCTTCTATAAAAAGGCAGGATCATGCGAGGAAAATAAGGATTGAACGCGAAATGATTTTAAGAAATCTATAGGAAGCGAAGAATATGAGACTTTTTAAAAGTACATCATCTATCATAAATTATTAGCATATATGAAAAATTAAAAAAGTAAATTATGTTGTTCTCAGCAGGTCTCAATGTGTTTTTTTAAACATTGTAATTATCCTTTATAAATCTCAAATATCTCTCTTTAATCCACAGTCCGGCCAGTTTGCTGAGGATATGATACCCACAGTTGGCTTCAATATGCGCAAAATAACCAAAGGCAATGTTACCATTAAGGTTTGGGATATTGGAGGCCAGCCACGTTTTCGTTCCATGTGGGAGCGTTATTGTCGTGGCGTCAATGCAATTGTGTAAGAATGATCTGCATTAACTTGCACCAGCTTCTACAACTCTGACTCATTTTCGCTTGTATTTCAGTTATATGGTCGACGCGGCTGATTTGGATAAATTGGAAGCGTCTCGCAATGAGCTGCATTCGCTGCTAGACAAACCGCAATTAAATGGCATTCCAGTGCTCGTCCTTGGCAATAAACGTGATCTTCCGGGCGCGCTTGATGAGACCGGGCTTATTGAGCGAATGTAATGTTTGTGTATTTCTTTATAATTATGTAACTAAGCGTACTTTCATTCATTTACAGGAATCTGTCCAGCATACAGGATCGTGAAATCTGTTGTTATAGTATTTCGTGTAAGGAAAAGGACAACATCGATATAACGCTGCAGTGGTTAATTCAGCATTCGAAAAGCCAAAGTCGTTAGATTATAGCTTAACATTACACACACACACACACAACATAATATACACAAGCACACACACACATACACAAATTCAATGCACTCTCGCATACACATTGAACAAGTAACTTAATTTGCAGTATATTAATTTGATGTAGACTGTTAATTGATGTATGAGTATAATTCGAAGAGCAAAAGTTATTGCAATGGCTCGTTATGATTGTTAGCATGTGTGTTTGTCTAAGAAATTTGTATTCGCGTTGGGGTGCTCCTCGTTAGGACCAAATATCTCGAATTGTAGTTCAAAAGTGAAAGGACTAATGAAACATAGCCAACCGATTCTGTATAAAAGTGAATATATTACACAACTACACACACACACACATACACATACAGAGACACACATCTATACATACTTCCCCTGTACACAGCGAGAAATCGCATAGTATTTTGCATAATGTGCTTTCACCTCATACAGCCGTTGAATTTGATGTCTCTATTAATTTGTTGCTTGTATCAACAATAGTTAGGCTTATGTTTAATGTTTTATTGGTGTGATTATATTAAACTATTGATTTTTTACTATCATTTATATATATAGATATACATATATATATAAATATACGAAATACAAATACAAATTATGATTTACCTATGTATCGATATATAGTTTATGTTTTTGCTTAGCGAAAATTTAAAAAAGACGTTTGAAACTAATTATATATATATGTATGTGTGTAAAGCACATGCGTGCAACAAAAAATTAAGTAAAATAATGTTTGTGTGCTTGAAGGCTATTGCTAAACAACAACAACAACAACAACAACAACAAATCTGTATAACTATTAAACAATAATATTAATAACAACAATTGATACCAGTGTAAGATAAATGCATATTCCGATTTGCTTATATCATTGACCTTTGATTGAGCAAGCGCCGGCACGCTTACTGTATGACATCTCGTTACCACACATACACCTAGCCACATACACATACACACACACATACAGTTAAATCATGCTTATGTACAATATTTTTATATTTTAATAATCAATTTCAATTATATACCACATTTATCTAACTGAAAAAGGGAGACGCCCTAAAGAAGCGAACAAAGCATAACTAATAAAGACTATTATAAAAGAAGTCATAGTCATAAAGAACAGATGTGAGAGAAGGCGCAACTATAACTATTTCGAGAATAAATATTGTATTGTGTTTTCAACTAATCCCAAAAGTATGCAATGCAAATGCAATCAACGTACCTAGCATCCCATGCAACTGCGTACCTGTGTGTGGTAACTAATCATCTGTGACTAGCCACATATTGCCTTAGGCGTGTGCTCTATATTTATTCTAACTTTCAAATTATTTTCAGATTTTGAAAATTTTTATTGAATTTTGTGTTTTAAAATTTCAAGTTCGATTTTAAAAGTCAAATTAGCAATTTTAAAATGTAGTTTGACAGCCTTAAACTTTTATTAACAAACTTTGATCAAAATCTGAGTTTACAAAGTTTTTAAGGTTCGTAGTTTTCAATTTTTTTTTTGTTTTTTTTTTAATTGCTGTTTTTATTTGCAATCTGTCTTATACTAGACAATAAACAAATTTGTTAACAATAATATTACGTAACCGGAGGGCTTGGGCTCCAATGAGATCGATCCATATATTTATCTACTTTACATATTTGTCTATTTCTGTGGGGTAGGTCTAGGACATGTAATCTTTTGAGTCACCTGTGGTTGCTTGAAACTTCAAAAACTTTCAAAAGACTTTTAAGGCAAACTTAATCTTTGCGCAGTTCAGTCTGAGATCTCTTTTTCAGGACTTAAAACTTAATCAACTGGTAAAACTGTTGAAAGGAGAATTATTAATTGTTTTTCCAGATACTTAGGTTTTTAAATTTAAAAAAACTCTTGGTTACTTCTGCTGTACTCAAGAGTTTTCTACTTAAAATTTTAAACCTAAAAACTATCTAGGATTTTCAAACTCTTTTCTCTAATACTATACAAAATACTTTCTCTAATAAGATTGTCTAAATATAGTATCTAATAAGATTTTCCCTGTATTTTCTTTAATATGATTTTTTAACTCTTATCTAAAATGTTTTTCTAATTAGTATAACTAATAACTATTTACTCGAATAGGTTTTTGTAAATAGGGTCTATATAGAATTTTCTATAAAATTTTCCAAATAGTTTCCTTACGCAGATTCCATACACATAAAATATTACATATTTTCTATGCGCACACATGATGGTTCGAGTGCGATAAGACTATGATGCATAATGCTAATGTAGACCCATGAATCAATGACACAGGCTTTGGCCTGGGCAACCCGAAAAGGTTCATCAGAGATTCTGAGCGTACGTTGGAAATAATTTATAGTCGCATTTGAGGCGCTGCACAAGACTGGTAGTCGGATGGTCTCTATGTGTGTGCTCTGGCCACCCAGTTGTCGGAGAGCAAGTGGGCAATTGATCGATGCGATTGAATATGAACGCATAAATACTCTTCTAACCAGAGCCCTTAACAGAAGCCACAAGACAAGGCGACAAGTACGAGCTAATTACGAATTCTGTGTGCAAAGGCTGTGTTCCAGGAATACGTGTCAAGTGCTGGCTCCAGCTCTGACTTCGCCTCTGCCACTGCCATTGTCTGCGGGCAGTGCAGTTGCTACTGCGACACGAGCCGAGTCAGTGACTCATAAGCAAATATTCTCATGCCTGCGGGCTGCTTGGGCTGCTTCCTGCTTCCTTTTGGGAGCGCAGCGTGCAGCGTGCAGCGTGCAGTCAACAAGTTTGCTGCCTAAGTCTTTTGTTTGGTCATCAAATTGAGTTAATTACACTTTTAAATGCTGGAAATTAACATTGCGCTGATAAAGATCTCAGCTCGCAGCGCTGCCTGCTGGCCACAAGCCACAAAACATAACTTGGCCATAACTTGAGCAAATCCCAACAACGACTACGACAACGACGTGTCTGTTGCCAGTTTTGCTTGTGCTCGTGCTTGAAGCTCGCGACAAGCTCATAAATTTTCATAAACATAACAAAAACAGCTCCGTAATGTTTTACCTCAAGAAACTAACAGAAAACTAAATTTCAATTATGTTTTCTGGCCATAAAAATTAAGAAGCGCAAAATAAAAAAAACTGAACTAAAATAAGAAATTCTTAATGTTATTATAATTATACTCTAGCCAGAGCTACTAGAGTTTTGTCTTCTAAGATGCAACATTTAAGAGGATATTCAGTGTAGCATATATATTATTGACTTTTCTATAACTCTAACTGTTATACTGTTATACTGTTATACTGTTATACTGTTATACTGTTATACTGTTATACTGTTATACTGTTATACTGTTATACTGTTATACTGTTATACTGTTATACTGTTATACTGTTATACTGTTATACTGTTATACTGTTAAACTGTTATACTGTTATACTGTTATACTGTTATACTGTTATACTGTTATACTGTTATACTGTTATACTGTTATACTGTTATACTGTTATACTGTTATACTGTTATACTGTTATACTGTTATACTGTTATACTGTTATACTGTTATACTTTTATACTGTTATACAGGTATACTTTTCCACTTTTATACTGTTGCAGCCTTCAGTTCATATAAATTGATTATATGATTAAATATCTCAATTGTTATTAATTATCTTTAATGTAAATCTAAATTTTTGTATAAGAGAGTTCTGCATCCTTCCCCATTACACTATAATATTATATAGCTGCAATAGGGACAATTGCTAATCTTAAGGCTTCAAGAGTATAAAAGCTTCTGCATACCGCAAATAACTCAATTTACCAGAGGTTGCTTTAGCAATTTGTGAGACTTGTGCTGATTATATAATGACATTAAAACATGCCCAAAAATGAAAATATATATATACATACATACAATTATATATATATATATATATATAATTGTATATGATGTTGGCAAATGAACGGGAACGCGATCATTTGTATGCGCCACAGAGGCCATAGCCAGGCTAAAGCAGCCCCTGCGACCGTCCGCCTGTCCGTTAGTTCGTCAGCCGCGTGACTCCTTTGATATAAAGCCGTCAGAGCCAAATGTTGGGCGGGGTGTTGACCATAAATATGCCCCGGCATAAGCACTATATTAATGCATAATATATTAATTAGCCAATGTCAAAGCAATGCTTAAGCATATCTGCGCCCATATCGAAGCGATATAAGCTTAAATATATTTTAATTGCAAGCACAGTGGGCAGCCAGCGAAACGAAGCGGAAGAAGAGGAATAAAGGCTGTGGGGCCCACCAAAAGTGTGTCTGGCCAAGAGGCTATGCCACCTGAAAAGTTCCTGGAATTGCAGCCACTAAAACACAAACAAAAACGAAATGCTGGCTAAAACAATAAGCCCAAACAAGAGGCAGCAGCAGCAGCAGGCATAAAGTTCAAACCTTAACAAGATGAACAAAAGACAGAGCCAGGCCGGGACTCGAACGCGACTTGGACTGTGCCGGCGCGTACTTGGCAGACTCGTGGGCAACAATTTTCATGTTTTTTGGGCTGTCAGTAGCAAATATCGCCAACAACAACAACAACAACAACAACAGCAGGATACGCTGACAACAACTTGGCCTGACAACCAGCCAAATGCAAATAAGTTTGTCTTGCTGTCTTTTCAGCCGAATTGGCCAAGTTGCTAAGTTGGCCCGCCTAAGCTTGATTTCCACCTACAGCTTCACTCACTCCCTCTCTTTGGCTCTCTCTCTCTCTCTGCCTTGGCCTCTCACCTTGTGATTTATTGTGTTTTATCGGCTGCGCCATTTGCCTTAGCACTAGGCCATAGGTGAACCATAATTCACGCAGCAATTGCTCACATCGAAGGCTGCAACAGCAGCAGCCGCATCTCTGCGCTAATAAAGTGCTCAGGTGTGAAGCTGGCGACTCGGCGACTGCATCTGCTGCCACTTTAATTGATGACAACATCTTGGAATTTTTGTTGGTATTTTCGCGAGCTGAAGTTTGTCTTGTCGCCTTATTTCACACTCGCATTCCCAGCAGCCCTTTTGGCTGCGATGCCCAATAAGATCTGACTGCCTCTATCTCCCTCTCTCGCTCTCTCTTTCTCTCTCTCTCTCTCTGTGTGTTGAAATCTGTTAAATAATGAAACATTTGCACGATACTGGAATCGTATCTGGAGCTCTTGGTCACAAAACAATCCACAACGAGCCATAGCCCAGTCGCAGTTGGTGCAACATATCGTACAAGATTTCCGGGAATTGAAAACTGCTAAAAATCGTGTTTGATTTTATACGTTCGCTGTTCGCTGCTCTTGACTTGGAGGACTGCCTTCTGCTGCATGCAACAACAGCAACTGTT